GATTTGGCTGGTAGCTTTTTGGAATAGAGCTAACCAATTTGAGAAGGAAAATGACATTGACCTACTTACAAGATCACAGGGAAAAATATGTCAAGCAACTTCTGAAGAAGAATCAAAAAGCATAGAATCTTATAATAATATTTTGCTGGTAGTTTCAACAGATGGAGCCAACAAAGTTTGCGAGGGAAATATTTTTAGTGCAATATAATATTTAATGAGAATATTTTGCTATGACTGCTTAAATATTCAGGTGAGCGATACAGGCCCTCTTGGGCCTCTTGTTTATATTGGTAGAGTTGTTAAATAATCCCGGTGCACACAATGTTGTTTTGTAGCAACCTGGAGCATGCAATTTCATTGCAATATCATAGTTTCCTTATAAACACATACAAGAGGTGTACAACGCTTTGCTGTAGTGTTGTGATGGTGGTGGGAGAGGTGTACATCGCTTTGCTGTAGTGTTGTTATGGTGGTGGGAGAGGTGTACATCGCTTTGCTGTAGTGTTGTGATGGTGGTGGGAGAGGTGTACATCGCTTTGCTGTAGTGTTGTTATGGTGGTGGGAGAGGTGTACATCGCTTTGCTGTAGTGTTGTGATGGTGGTGGGAGAGGTGTACATCGCTTTGCTGTAGTGTTGTTATGGTGGTGGGAGAGGTGTACATCGCTTTGCTGTAGTGTTGTGATGGTGGTGGGAGAGGTGTACATCGCTTTGCTGTAGTGTTGTTATGGTGGTGGGAGAGGTGTACATCGCTTTGCTGTAGTGTTGTGATGGTGGTGGGAGAGGTGTACAACGCTTTGCTGTAGTGTTGTTATGGTGGTGGGAGAGGTGTACATCGCTTTGCTGTAGTGTTGTGATGGTGGTGGGAGAGGTGTACAACGCTTTGCTGTAGTGTTGTGATGGTGGTGGGAGAGGTGTACATCGCTTTGCTGTAGTGTTGTGATGGTGGTGGGAGAGGTGTACATCGCTTTGCTGTAGTGTTGTGATGGTGGTGGGAGAGGTGTACATCGCTTTGCTGTAGTGTTGTGATGGTGGTGGGAGAGGTGTACATCGCTTTGCTGTAGTGTTGTGATGGTGGTGGGAGAGGTGTACATCGCTTTGCTGTAGTGTTGTGATGGTGGTGGGAGAGGTGTACATCGCTTTGCTGTAGTGTTGTGATGGTGGTGGGAGAGGTGTACATCGCTTTGCTGTAGTGTTGTGATGGTGGTGGGAGAGGTGTACATCGCTTTGCTGTAGTGTTGTGATGGTGGTGGGAGAGGTGTACATCGCTTTGCTGTAGTGTTGTGATGGTGGTGGGAGAGGTGTACATCGCTTTGCTGTAGTGTTGTGATGGTGGTGGGAGAGGTGTACATCGCTTTGCTGTAGTGTTGTGATGGTGGTGGGAGAGGTGTACATCGCTTTGCTGTAGTGTTGTGATGGTGGTGGGAGAGGTGTACATCGCTTTGCTGTAGTGTTGTGATGGTGGTGGGAGAGGTGTACATCGCTTTGCTGTAGTGTTGTGATGGTGGTGGGAGAGGTGTACAACGCTTTGCTGTAGTGTTGTGATGGTTATGGGAAAAGGTACAGCGCTTTGCTGTAGTGTTGTGATGGTGGTGGGAAAGGGTACAGCGCTTTGCTGTAGTGTTGTGATGGTGGTGGGAAAGGGTACAACGCTTTGCTGTAGTGTTCTGATGGTGATGGGAGAGGTGTACAACGCTTTGCTGTAGTGTTGTGATGGTGGTGGGAGAGGTGTACAACGCTTTGCTGTAGTGTTGTGATGGTGGTGGGAGAGGTGTACATCGCTTTGCTGTAGTGTTGTGATGGTGGTGGGGAGAGGTGTACATCACTTTGCTGTAGTGTTGTTATGGTGGTGGGAAAAGTGTACAACGCTTTCCTGTAGTGTTGTGATGGTGGTGGGATAGGTATACAGCGCTTTGCTGTAGTGTTGTGATGGTGGTGGGAGAGGTATACAACGCTTTGCTGTAGTGTTGTTATGGTGGTGGGAAAAGTGTACAACGCTTTCCTGTAGTGTTGTGATGGTGGTGGGAAAAGTGTACAACGCTTTGCTGTAGTGTTGTGATGGTGGAGGGAGAGTAGTACATCGCTTTGCTGTAGTGTTGTGATGGTGGTGGAAGAGGTATACAGCGCTTTGCTGTAGTGTTGTGATGGTGTTGGGAGAGGTGTACAACCCTTTGCTGTAGTGTTGTGATGGTGTTGGGAGAGGTGTACATCGCTTTGCTGTAGTGTTGTGATGATGGTGGGAGAGGAAGGGGAACGACGCCAGTCTATCACGGAGGCCATGTGCATCATCAAATTGATTACCAAACACATGAAACTTCTGATTTCATTTTTCATTATTTCACGTCTATTTTTGTAACGATAACGTGACTAATTATGTTTTACTTCTTAAGTTTCTCGTATGACTAGTGGTTCCTTCTAGGAAGCAGGTGTGTGACATTTTACAATCTCTTCTGACAATCACAACTGAAGATAATTAAAAGACATGTTGTGGCGATATTCCGTACATTTACACCGACAGTGACACATACCGTGTTAGTGACAAATCCGATATCACTGCGACATGCCATACAGCCCAGCTGTGTTTGAAGAGCAGCGCTTCGATTAATTAAAACCTATCCTTAAGACCAAACCCAGTTGCCTCATTTACCAAACCCAGTTTCCTCATTTCTATACAAGTAGATAGGAGCACACAATTGACAAGAACGAGGAGGGGACCCTTAGAAGCTGGATGATTGTCATTAACATACTTCTAACCTGGTATACGGCTGTGTTAACGCGGGCTAACCATTTGGCTAACTATACCAAAGGTTCAACTTGTTGTAGACCAACACTTCGTCGAATCAGTCAGATCAGGGTGTTAGTAGTCAGACTGTCGAATCAGTCAGATCAGGGTGTTAGTAGTAAGACCGTGGAATCAGTCAGATGAGGGTGTTAGTTGTAAGACGATCGAATCAGTCAGATCAGGGTGTTAGTAGTAGGACCGTGGAATCAGTCAGATCAGGGTGTTAGTAGTAGGACCGTGAAATCAGTCAGATCAGGGTGTTAGTAGTAGGACCGTTGAGTCAGTCAGATCA